GGGTGTGGGTGTGGGTGCGGCGCGGTGGATGTGAGTGGGTGTGGGTGTTGGCAGTGCGTGTGCAGGGATGAGGAACACTCAAACGGACCCTCACCCACCCATACTTATACTCAATACCCACACCCTATTGACCTAAAATATTGTACGTTATAAATGCTATGCACGTACATCGATAGACTATATCTTCAGCTGAATATAAGAACATATGGAGACAGGCGGTGTGGGTGTAATCTGGATTAGGGTGTGGGTGTGGGTTAAGAGCAGATGAACACCCACATCCACACCCACACCCACACCCACACCCACACCCACACCCACACCCCACACCCATACACCCACACCTACACCCACCCACACCCACACCCACACACCCACACCCTCTCTAGATTGCGCTAAAAGCTTTTTCGCTTGGATCATTAACCTAAGATCTCTTATCGGCTGTAGCCAAATAATAAAGCAAGAAAAAGCAAGTATGTTCAGCTTTTTGACTCATTTCTTGAAAAAAATGCAAATTGTTTGTGACGATTTTACTTGGCATAAAAGTTCTGAAATACAATTGTCTTTTTTTGTTGGACGACTATTGAATACATCAAATGTATCGCTTGATCCATTCTATAACCAATTTCTTAATAGCATTATTGTAATATTGGCTGAAGTTCATATTGGTCGTCGTATTTTCTAATTTGCAGATTGGTTTTATATCGGTTGTAATATTTACAGCACTACTACTGAGGAAAATACTCGTTTGATCGCGTTCAATCTTCGCTATACATACAATGGGTACTATACATTGCCGTTCTTGATAGTCATAGGTGAGTTCATCCATATTTCTAACTTCGTTTTCTTTATTGTTGATGAGCCACTTGTTGTTATCATCTGACCATTTGACAATGGAAGAATATTGTTCGACAAACTGTTGTTTGATTCGAGCCAGCATAGTCATAGTTCGAGGGTAAGGATCATCGAGTGTTAACACATTAGTAGGGGAGACTTTGGGAAAAAATGTTTCGATACATGCCTCTTCGAGGTTATCGAGCAAAGCATCGATCATAGTCAAATGATTAATTAATTCGTCTATATGCCACCTTCTCTCAACTGAGTCAAATGCACGTTCAAACGTATGAATAATTTGTTCGTACACTTTCGCTTTACCTTGAATATCTCCTAATATACGAATATATTAAAATATATTTTTAGCATTCTTATGGTCTGACCTATTTTTTTGTCAATCATTTGTTGAAAGTCACTTTGATGGTGAGGAAAGCTTGTGTCGTACATTTGATCAATCCATTTATCGGTGAGCAACCAAAATAAAATACTACATATACCAGTTGAGTCTATTGTGGGACTGTTCAATTGATTTTTCGATGATAACAACTGTACAAAATTAGAGAACATGTTATCTGATGTTTGTCGCATATCATCGATCGAATTTCGTTTGATAATATGATCGAATATTTTCGAATCGTCTTCGTCACTTATTCGCACTTCTTCACTATCAATCCAACTCAAGCCAAAATCAATGAGTATAAGTTTAATCTCATCGATTGGTACATGAATATGATCATGTTGCACCATGATATTATTTGGTTGCAGATTCCGATGAAGAACGTGATTCTCATGACATCGTTTGATAATATCGAGCAATTGATGAGTCAGAGATAATGCTATACGAAGAGTAATCTCGGACTTGTGATTATGGATAAAATCTTTGAAAGTTAAGTCGGAAACTACTTGAGTGATTATCCACATCGGTACATCTTCTTTTCGTCCCACATCAAGAATGTTACTTTGATAGATGGACACCACCGACGGATCATCTAGACATTATGTGAACGAAAGCAAACAGATTCTATATTGACAAAAAGATTGATTTCTACGTTCAACAAACGAAAATAATTTGAACCTATCACAATTTTTTGTCCAAACTGTTTCAACGAAAGTTCGATACTCATCCTCACCCTGAACATCAAACTCTTTTTAATCTCTCGACAATTTACTCACAGTAAGATGTCGTAAAATGAACACCCAACGCAGGTTAACTTTTTACTCGAAAACAAGATAGAGTGCTCATACAGAAATTTGATACATGCAACGTAGAATAAAAATTCATGCGTACTCGCATCTGACTTTTTTTTCATGCTGGGATTCTGTAAGGCCACGTTCAGAGCTTATTGACTATTGACCTAACTAGCAATCATGAGATCGACGAGAAAGAGGACAAAGTAGACGGAAAAATAGATCCATCCCAAAATCCAGAAGAGAAAAATTCGGAAAAAAGTATCGAAGAACATCTAAGCTGATGAAAAATTAAATGATCTCTCATCATTCATGATTCTTCTCTCCCCTTTGTTGGTCTTCAACACCATGTTTTCAAAGTCAGACGGACATACAGAAGAACACATTGGGTTTTAAAGCTCAGATTGATATGAAAGATAGTAAAGAACGAGAGACCGATCTGGCTGAACGCTTCAGCGAGTTTTCATAGTTGATAGCTGAGAAAAATTGAGATATTATATTTTGCTGCTCAATACACTATATTGTTCTCATGTATTGAGAAGACTGACCAGTAATGCCCCGATTTCATGCTTTGCTTCTTTGTCAATTTTCAGATTTTGAGAATACATTGGAGGGACCACCGAAACCACTCAGGACGCTAAATACATTCCATAAGGTTCACATTCCTGCGACTTTTATTCAGAAGTTAGAATCAAAACGGTCACTTATCTATCAGGAGTCCAGTGCAGATATTTCCTATCATAAAAAAACATAATCTACGGTTCACGTATGACATAATCTGAAAATTGAAGCTACCTTTCTGTAGAAACGAGGACGATCTTCATCTCTCTCGACTGAAAAATTTCAATTTTTGTCTATATTAGCGGTTTTGACTTCTGGAAAAAATTCATTTTTTCTATAGGTGTCCGCTAGTCTTTCAAATACAATAACAGTAACTTTTGCTAGAAGAACAGAAACAAGTATTTGAAAAAAGTCTTAAAAACAGCAGGATTGTAGGCCGAAAGTTTTACTGTGAATAGAATTGAAAAAATGAATTTCGAACAAGTTTTACTCTGATACGAAATTATCGAGAGATACTTGCTCAAAGTGAAAGGCGTATGGATTCAAAGAGTTATTGCCGGTGATCGATTTTCTACTAACCAAGTTTTAGAAGTCAGATCTTTCCCCCTTTCTCTGAACATTCTACTAATTGTATCAAACAAATCAGTTTCATGAAAAAACAATAAAGGTTACATTTCTATAGAGAACTTGCATTCTATATAGCCGTTGTACTTATAGCATTTTCTATATTGTTGAGAGTTGTGAATAGAATAAGAAAAACAAAACGTTACTACATACTTTCGAGTGCTTGTAGTACTAGTAGTTCTCGTCGAGCTCGTATTTCTTCGAGCTTACTTTTATTATGATACACTTTCATAGCGCCAAGACGATTATCGGTTGACTTGGTTGGATAGACCAAATAGGTTTCGCTCATTTTATTACCCAGTCGCCGATTCGTCCATACCCATGTGGATGGCATCCCATTGATTTCATTTGTACCGGGTGCTAACGCTATACATAGTTGGAGTTTATTTGAATATCAAATATTATAAGAAATAAGAAGTTACATGCAAATATAGCTGAAAGCTGTTGATAACTATTAGTGTCTAGAGATGAACTTGATGGAATTTGTTCGATTGGTGCACGATCATATTCCAATTGACATTTAACGGTATAATTTGACCTTATTGGATAATCATGCCATTCGTAAACTCGTTTTCGCGCAAGTTTCTCAGCTGCTTGCCGAACGAGATAGAAATGTCGAGTGGTGGCACCTTCCGGCGTTTCAGGAACTTCGATAGAATTAAGTAAACTGAGTGGTTGCTTTTTTAGTTCTGTCAAAAGCTCAATTGCTGTCATATTGGATGGAAGACCATCGATTTTGATGCGATATTGCTGGTCTATAGGTCTGTTAGTTAATTAAATAAGTTCAACATCCACCCCGTTAAACAATTCAAGAAAATGATTCTACTGTTCGTTTTAAAATTGAAGGAAATTTATCATTCAAGGTGGTATTCTAGAGTTAATGTTTTCGTTTCAAATGCCAGAATTCGACAGAAAGAACTGTTCTCTATAGATCTATTTGTGATCAATTTTGCAAACATTTTTTATTCAGGAGATTGAAGTATTTTCCCGTAAACTTTGATTTTGACTATTTGACGTTGAATCAGCGGAAATTGATATTATTATCCGCGCTGAATGGACTGCTGTTTGGTTATAGATCCAATGTAGTCTGGACCCGTTATATCAAGTTTCTTACAATTCTAGCTTTTGCTTCGGTGATGAATATAGGGTCAACTTTTAGAAGAGTTTAAGATGATATTTTGAGACCGCTTTGCATCGGTAAACAAAGATTATCATTCAATTTTGCGTAGCTAACTAAATCTCTTAAAGATTAATTTAAGATTTCTCGAGCAAATGCTTTTGTGTCCTGAACATAAAACGTTAACAAAGCGTATCTTATTCAGAAGGCAAGAGAGCAACTCATCCTATCGAATGGTGGTCTTTCAAGATAAAATCAACTATAAAATATCGCCCGAAGAATGTCTTTTGAAAGCTTATCTAATTGGTCAATTGCTGACCAATCATATTTAACATGATAGATCGGTTCTTTCAAAATCCGACACGAGCAATGATACATACCCTGCCGATCTATATCTTGGATTTGGTACAATATTTCTCTTCGTTGAATGACTAAATGGACATTGATCATACATACATTCATCACCATACTTGCATATGACATGACGATAAATGCAATCATTATCATGTTTGCACCAGCCATCGCGATTGCCGGAACACAATGTCCATTCGTTCAATGGCTCTTCTTCAGCATTGCATTGAACATCGATTCCATCAATAGTTTTGACTGATATAGCAAGCTGTTGAGCATCGGCTAATGTATTTAACTTTAAAATCCATGCCTCAAATGGATCTGTGTCTGCATTGATGCTCTTTCGAATTAGTACATCCCATACGCGGCTACGAAAAAGAATCGCTAGTTGTTCACCACTGACATGAGAGGGAACATTCGTCACATGAACACAAAACTTCATATCATTTGGTGCAACAGTATTCTCATCTACTCAAAGAAGAATTCGTGTGCATGGCAAATAATTGAAACCCATTATAAATACAATTTTCTTACATGCTTGTCGTACATTGAAAGATCGCATTTTTTCTAACTTGACTGTAATTCCATTGATTGTATGTATCGAAGAAGTGATGATAGCTCGATCCACTGAATCATAGCTAAATGAGGACATGGTCAGACGTAGCTATAATTCATATCCGTAAACTCACTCGTCAAATTCGATTCTTGCCACATTCTCCAATTGCCAACTGAAAGTTTTTACTGGACCATAATTCGTTTCAAAATAGCTACGTAGTTCTTTTTCATCCAATATACAACCTGAACTACTTGATTTAACAAACACCAATAAACGATTTGTTCTTTCAAACAGGATTCCTGTCCGCATCCATCGTTGAACAGTTACAGGATACCCATCGATCATATAGGTTTGCCGTCGTTCGTTGTCCATGCAACGTTGAACTGCTGATTGCTCAGTAAATGTGATGTGCGCAGTTTTTTGCATTCTTACTGTAAGATCTATCTAGCTTACATAATTGTGTCGACTATTTCAACTTACCTCCGCTTGGAGTAATGTGAGGCTCCATTGCTAATTCACCGAACTGGCTTGCAAAAGCTATGATGGTCTGGCGGGTTACAGTTGCCGGAATATGTTTGATCGCTATTGAAAACTCCGATGTTTCGTTAGCGTAGTTAGGAGGTAGTGTACTGCCTACTATTCGGTCATATTGAAATCTCTAGTCGATATTCAACAAATCATACTATAATCTATTGCTTTATATAACGTACCCTACGATTCGGCACGTGTTTGTCGACTTCTGAACATTTAGACATCCTTTTCCTGATCAGATTTACGTAGTTTTGTCACCAATGATAGCTGCAGGGACAACTGCAATAGGTTGATACTCTAAATATGAGTCAGAATTAAAATTTCATTATCTCGTTTCTGAAGGATTGTACAAAAAAAGTATATCCTCTCAATTGACACGAAAAAACAATCGAACACTTGTAGAACATTGATCAAAATCTGAAAAAAATCTAATCATTAGATGGTCAAAATTGTTTTATATGACTCAACGTTTTCCTCCAAAAAGAGAGTGTGGATGGCTGTGAGAAGGTGAGTGCTCGGGTCTTCACTGAAACTTCATCACCCTTATCCACCTACAACTCTGTCGAATGTTAATATCTATATTATAATGTTCAGTGTCTGTTTGTGTGTGCTGCGTCAAAGGTCAAAGGTTAAAGGACACATAAGGCTATAAGGGGAAGATCTCCAAGAACTATTATATGGGAACTTATAGGTCCCCAAGGACTATCCTATGGGGGTACCCATAGGTCTTCAAGGGCTATCCTATGGGACCCATAGGTGCTCAAAGGCTATCCTATGAGGCCCAGTGAAAAAACATCAGATTATGGAAGATTTCAGTAGATTATAATCGGATTTTTCTACAACAAAATCCAAATTATAATCAATTGAAATCTTCGAAATCAACAATAATTCGATTTTTAATCAAACAATAATCCTTTAAATCCTGAAAAATTTGGATTAAAGTCATGCAGTTTTGATTAAAAATATATAGTCCTGATTTGTTTCGATTATAATCCGAATTTTTCTGGATTTTAAAGATTTTCGATTGGTTGAAAATAGAATTATTGTTGATTTCGAAGATTTGAATCGATTGTAATTTAGATTTTGTTTCAGAAAAATTCGATTATAATCTACTGAGATCTTCCATAATCTAATATTTTTTCACTGGAGGGTACCCATAGGTCCTTAAGGGCTATAATATAGGGGTACCCATAGGTCTCCGAGACCTATTATATGGGGGTACCTATGGGTCCCCAAGGGCTATCCTATAGGGGTACCCATAGGTCCTCAAGGGCTATCCTATGGGGGTACCCATAGGTCCTCAAACCAAGGGGGTAAGTGCAGACGCCCAGCACCCAGCACCTGCTCAGCACCTACCAGCACCTACCAGTACCTACCAGTACCTACCGGCACCTACCAGCACCTACCAGCACCTACCAGCACCTACAGCACCTACAGCACCTGCAACCATTGTTTCATTATCTTAAGTACTTAAGACAATAGAATAGTTGTTGAAGATGCTGAAAATGCCGTAGGTACCGTAGATGCTCACAGTGGAATGCGGTATACGTGCCGTAGGTGCTGAGCAGGTGCTGGGTGCTGGGTGCCTGCGCTGTCCCCCTTGCCTCAAGCGCTATGCTCTGGGGGTATCCATAGGTCCCCAAGGGCTATTATATTGTGATACGCATAGGCCCTGAAGGGAGTAAAGCAATAGGAAGATAAGGCTACAAGGAATATAAGGCTATAAGGCCGATGGCTGCATGGACTATACAAATATGTGCGATATGAGAGTATGAAGTCGTAGGGTAACCTATCTATATACATAATATCGAGTGTCTGTATGTATTTTACCGGATGAAAAGTTAAATGTCTGAGGTCATGCATTAAAGGAGAAAACAGCCGTGCAGTATGCACGGGTTCTCGCTAGTTTAAATATATTCATGATTATAGTAAACTCTGATATTGATGTAATTCTACATAACATCAGCGATTGTTCACAGTTCATTTCAGCGGATAATGATTGATCAACCGTACAATGTGACTTATCAGAAAACAATTTATACCAAGAACGTAAGCATTTCTCTAGAAAATACAGCGATTTACATCAGAAAAGTCAGTGCTTTTAATGGATAGTAAAAATGCTGATTTTTACTTGTATCAAAGACGATTTGAAAGAAATTTTGAAGAATACATACATCAACAACGTTATATCGCTCACGAACTGTGTATTGAAGATATAAAAATTCATGTTTCACTAAAAAAGTGAAACACTTTCCTTTGACTAAGCTAACAATAGTTGAGTTCTTGTTCATCCTATTATTGCTATTGGGCATACAACACGCTAACTTTTGAGCGTGGAACCCAGTGCTCAATATACCAATTATATTCATCTATTCTCGGTTCAGCCGTCGTGAATTAGGATGGTTGTGAGAAGGAAATCTTTTGTGCTTTCAGTTAATCATTATTTACTGATGGTCGTTTTTTCGGTAATCATGCTTCATTTACCAGCATCCTCGATGAGAAAAGTGAGTTCAAACTCACTGTAACCATTCACACAGCTCACGCTCTGCTCGTCCATTTCTTAATTATTATTCGTCGAAGTATTTCGATACTTTTCACTGATATTAAATACTGCTAGTAAACTAGTAGAGTAATTGGAGGACAGGATTCCGAGGAGACTAGCTCACCTGCTCTGTTCAACACTCATCAGGATTGGCAATTTAAGTCCCAAACGTTGAATAGATACAAATGTTATCTTATCATTCAAAGCTTATTTACCGAAACGGAAGTTGCTTAAAATCTTGATAATGAAAACTATTAAATGTTTTCTTTTTCATGTGAATAGAGTCATGACTAAACTTTTCTCGGAACGAGTTTTTCATGGAAAAGTAAAACATTTTGTAGGGCATAAGGTGACATTTTCATACCATAGCTCTACTCTAAGGTACGAAAAAGTCCCCTAAGGCAAGGTATGGTAACGAAATACATACTCTTGCAGGACTCTGCTATCTTATTAGTAGGCATGCACAGAGAGCAAACTAATCGATTTGGGTTCTTAAGCAAGAAGTGACTGGTTCATAAGATCATGTTCGATGTATTGACAACACGATTCTTGATTCATTCCATTGTGGGAGGCACTCGTGTACGATAAGTTTTACGGAAAGTGCAGATTAGATATTA